ATATGTACATATATGATATATACATATATATGAAATATAAGCATATATGTAGGTATATATACACATGCATACATATGTATCTAATTCTATAAATACATTTTTATGTCTATATGCATATACATTTGTGTATATATATATAGGTATGTATACTTATATATGTACATTTATATGTAGATGTACATTAAGTGTATATATGTGCAAGTGTATGTATACAATATATATATATACATATATATGTATATGTGTGACTGTCCAAAATTCGTACCTCTCCACAGGCTTATACCGACTTTGAAAATTGCAATCGTCGGCAACTATCGAACTGACCGAGATTGTATAAGCAAATATATATGTATGTGTGTGGGTGGTTGAATATATGTGAATATATATATATATATATATATATATATATATATATATATATATATATATATTATATACAATGTGTGTGAGGGCTCTCTGTTGTATTTACGCTTCTCACCCCTCTATATAATGGAAACCAACTTAAGTACTTGTTTAAGTTAAGCTGAACGCCCGTATTATCAATAGTTCCAGGCTTAACTCACCTTCGGCTTTCACGCAACACTTGCAGTTTTCTCCTTTACATTTTCCCTTCTCTGCCGTCTCGTGTTGTTTGCAGGTCTGTCGACACTTGCCATCTGCCTTCGAGCATTTATCGTCCGCGTCTTGACACTTTCGATGTAGCTTTTTTTTGCGTTTGTTTTTCTTTCCTGTAAGAATAATAATGGCTTTCACTTATAAAGTATACAAAACAGAAAAAGCAGGCATATTTCTTCCATCCTCTTGGGTTTCTTTTACTATATATATGTGTATAATCATGTGAAAAAATGAAAAAGAAAGATATATAGGCTCGTTTTTTTCTAATTGCGTTAAATCAAACGGTATTGTATCTCAATACAATTTTTTTATATACATAATACACATATATATGTGTTCACTTATGTGTATATATATATCTATATATATATATTAATATATATATATATGTATATACATGTACGTATATACGGATATATATATACATATATAATAAGTATATATATTAATTTCTAGATATATACTTTTGGATATATAGCCATATGTATTTATATATATCTATATACATATACATACACACAGATATATATGTACATACATGTGTACATGCATGGTTGTATGTATATAAATATACATATATGACATATACATACATGTGAATCTATAAACATATATGTAGGTATATATACGCATACATATATACAAACCTATATCTAATAGTATAAATACGTTTATATATCTATATGCATGTATATTTGCATATATATAAGGGTATATATACATATATTCACATTTATATATAGATGTACATTAAGTGTTTATGTGTGCAAGTGTATGTATATAAAATATATATATATATTTATATTCATATATATGTATAGTATGTATATGTTCGACTGTCCAAAATTCCAGGCCTAACTCTCCTACAGGATATATATACATATATTTACATTTATATATAGATGTATATTAAGTGTGTATGTGTGCAAGTGTATGTATATAAAAACATATATATATATTTATATTCATATATGTATAATATGTATATGTTCGACTGTCTAAAATTCGTACCTCTCCACAGGATTATACCGACTTTGAAAATTGTACATTGGTCGGCAACTATCGAACTGACCGAGATTATATGTGCAAATATATATAAGTGTGTATGTGGGTGCATATGTGTGAATATATATATATATATATATATATATATATATATATATATATATATGTGTGAAGGCTCTCAGTTGTATTTTCGCAAATGAGATCAAATACACTGGGTGCAGAAAACATCTCGTTCCTCACCTCTCTATATAATGGAAACCAGCTTAAGTACCTGTTTGGGTGAAGCTGAACGCCCGTATTATCAACAGTTCCAGGCCTAACTCACCTTCGACTTTCACACAACACTTGCAGTTTCCTCCTTTACATTTTCCCTTCACTACCGTCTCGTGTTGTTTGCAGGTCTGTCGACACTTGCCATTTGCCTTCGAGCATTTATCGTCCGCGTCTTGACACTTTCGATGTAGCTTTTTCTTGCGTTTGTTTTTCTTTGCTGTAAGAATAATAATGATTTTTACTTATAAAGTATACAAAACAGAAAAAGCAGGCTTATTTCTTCTATTCTCTTGGGTTTCTTTTACCATATCTATGTGTGTGTAATCATGTAAAAAAAAAAAAAAAGAAAAAATGAAATAAATATAGGCTCGTTTTTTTCTAATTACGTTAATTTAAACGGAATTGTATCTTAATACAAAATTCATATATACATAATACACATATATGTGTATGCTTATATGTATATATATTTATATATGTATACATTTACACATACATATATATGTATATATATATATATGTATATACATATGAATATGAATATACATATATGCACACATCTATGTATATCCATATATATATATTAATCTATATATGTGTATATACA